TTCAAGAGGGGCAGCAATGTGTGTCATCCACCTCTCAGTTATCGGGTTCACTTTGCATCACTGAATCCAGGGACGTTTACCAGGCTCCTTCCTCCCTGGGTGAACATGCCTCCTTGACCAAATGACATAGGTCCAGAAAAGGGGGCCAGGGCAGCCTCATTCTGTAATCTATGGCACACGGGGAAAGTTTTAAAAAGAAAGAAGGAGTGTTTCTCGTAAAAAAAAAAAAATTGAGAAAGAACCCACAGAGTCGTGGTGAGAGAGTGGTGGGTCTTATTCCAAGCATGTTATCGTTTGTCTTACTTCACACTTCCCAAAACTTGCTTGCCTACATAGAAAAACTGAGATGCCATACACAGACCCAGATGTCTGAAGTCTCTGGAACATCAGAAGGTATCACCCTGCTGGGGCACTGTCTCAACCGCATGTGCTCCCCAGGTCACCTCAGTCCCCAACCACTCTCTTTACTCACTAAGGGCGTGACCGACTGTTGACTTCAGGGTGGTCTGGCATTCATTCACCCTCCCACTGGGAACCATGCTTTGATCTTTCTCCCAAGAACCAGCCCCTTCCTTCTCCACTTCTAGTGGGGTTGAACCCATCCCTTAAAAGCACGTGGCTCAGTGGTGTCCATGTGGTCCAGTACTGACAAATGGAGCATAGCATTGATCTATTCACATTAGTTAGCATGAGCTCAGGATGGGACATGTGACCCAATCAGAACCAATGAGATGTCACGAAACTTTGACTGGGGTTGCTGTGAAAATATCATTCAGAACTTGAACCCACATGGTATGGCCTGGAGGGTCCCTCAGCCATCCTAAAAGCCACATAGAGTCTTAGGATGAACCCAACACAGGGGAGAAAAGAGCCTAGTGATGGGGAGGCCCTGATGTTCTTATTGAGTCCCTTGATCAAGCTATATCTGAAACTAAATATCCCTGGATTTTTCACGTATGAGAGCCAACAGATTTCCTGGGTTTGTTTGTTTGTTTGTTTGTTTGTTTAACTCATTTGAGATAGTCAGGAGCCATTGTTCTCAAGTGACAGAAAAGTCTTCCCTAGAGAAGCTCCCAGACTAACAACAACAGGATCAAGATGCAATGGATGAAAATAGCAGAAACCTAAATTTAAACCTAATATAAAGATGGAACTTTCCAACATCAGATCGCTAAGGAGGAGAAATGTATTGTGAAATCCAAGTCAGTACAAGTATTCAAACAGATTAAAGTTTATTATCAATGTGTCAATCTTGGCCCAGGTAGATAGTTGGATAAGATGAACCCAAACCTCAGGTTCTTTCCAATGTGATGATCCTATGAATATCAAGAAAGATATAGTCTTCAGAGAAGGATTTTCTAAATACCTGAGGGAGATTTCTCCCCATCTCTATGTCCCAGCTATTTCCTTCACAACAGTTATCACTAGTTTTCTTTCTTTCTTTTCTTTTTTTTTTGAGTTGGAGTCTTACTCTGTTGCCCAGAATGGAGTTCAGTGGCAAACTCACAAGCCACCCCAGTGTTGACCTGCTGGGCTCCAGCGATCCCTCCACCTCTGCCACCAAGTAGCTGGAATTACACGTGCGTGCTACCACACCCAGCTAATTTTTTATATATGGTGGGAACAAGGTCTCGCCAAGTTGCCCGGGCGAGTCTTGAACCCAGAGGCTCAGGCGATCCACTTGCCTTGGCTTCCCAAAGTGCTGGGATTACAGGCTGAGTCTCCAAGCTCGGCCTCCACTAGTTTTCATTTTAGATTTGTTTATACTTCTGTTGACTTGTTTGTTTCCCCCATAAGATTGTACATTCTGTAAGAGCAGACACTTGACCATTTTATGTTTCTGTACTTCCGGCACCTAGAAAAAGGCATGTTGCACACACTTAACCTTCAGGTAATAATTTGTTGAGTGAAAGAGACCCCCCCATCCCTGTGTTTACTATGACGTCACTCAGAAAGCCAGTGTCCCAGTGGGATGCATGGATTAGAGCCACCGACACTCTTTCACATTCATCCTGTATAGATGCCTCCTCTGCACCCTTTGGTGAAGAACGTCTTTTAGTAAAGGACACTATGCCATGGCCAGAGCATCCTGCCACCCTAACACCCACAGCTAGGATCATCCCTGTCCATCTTGTCCTGGCCATCCAGCAGAGGAAACAGCTCCTGGAGGTTACGTGGGATGCAGACTCCCCCTGCAACCTTCCCCCTAGTCCCACTGTGTTGCTGACTGCTGGGACTTTGCCACTATCCCTTCAAACAATGTTGGAAAGGAAACCTTCCTTTACTGAGCAACTTACTGTGTACCAGGGTCTTTTCACACATGAGCTCATGGACCCCACAAAGTGGGCGCTGTTAGTCTTTATTTTATGGAGGAGGGCATGAAGGCTCAGAGAGGTCAAATGGCTTACTCAAGGTCACATAGATGCAATTTTCAAAGTTAAGGCTGAAAAAACATGGAACCAATCATGATGCCCATCAAAAGGGGACTGGATAAAAAAAAATGTGGTACATATACACGATGGAATATTACACAGCCATAAAGAAGGACAAAGTTATGAACGTCACAGCAACTTGGATGGACTTAGAGTCTATAATACTGAGTGATCTATCACAGAAACTAAGAACCGAGTATCACATGTTCTCACTCATAAGCAAACCTTGAACAATTATAGTAATAAAGGAAAGGATTGGTGGCCAGGCTCAGTGACTCAGCCTATAATCCCGGAACTTTGGGAGGCCGAGGCAAGTGGATTGCCAGAGCCCGCAGGTTCTAGACCCACCCAGGCAACTTGGCGAGACCTCATCTCTACAATAAAGCAAAAATTAGCCAGGTATGGTAGCACATGCCTGTAGTTCTAGCTACTTGGTAGGCTGAGGTGGAAGGATCGCCGGAGCCCAGCAGGTGGAGGCTGTGGTGGCCAGGGGCATACCACTGTACTCCAGTCTGGGTGACGGAGTGAGACTCTAACTCAAGAAAAGAAAAGAAAAGATTGACAGTAGTGGAAAACTGTTGGGGGGGAGGGTGGGATTGACAGTAGTGGGAATCTGCTGGGGGAGGGGATGCACACCTCATCAACAAGGGTATCTGCATAATGAACATTTGTATACCTAATCCTGATTTGTACCCCACATCTTTAAAATAAAAAATAAAGTTAAGGCTGAAACACTCTGAAGTCATTGCTCTGTTATCCCACTCTTAGTTTTCTAACCTGGATGTATGTATATGGATATGCATAGGTGTATATGCATACACATGTGATGTATTTGTGTATTTATGCATATGTGTATACACATATACATGCGATGTATATGCATAGGTGTATATGTATATGTATGTGATGTATGTATACATGTGTAATGTGTATGTGTGTATACACATATTTGTATATGTATGTGATGTATATGTGTTTTTTTTTTTTATTCATGAGCACGTATCTGCAAATGATTTTTTTGCTTTCTGGGGACTGAGGCGCACATGCGCGTGCATGCATACATACACTCCAAGTCATCAGCATCTTTTATTTAATGTACCGGAGGAGCAGTAAATTACACAGGCCTATTAAGGACTAAGCAAATTCCAAGTAAATTGCATAAACGGGATTTTTTTAGAAGCACACAAAATAAGACAATCTATACATTTCAGAACACCATGAGATGCCTGGTGGCTCTGCATGAAGAGGTGTGCTCAGCAGCATCTTGTACAAATTATCCAAACTCAAGTCTGTTTCCTCTCCTGTCCAGCCCCATCCTGGACCCACAAACCAAAGTATAGTACCTGGATTCCCAGTGAGCAGGGGGCAGGGGAGACTTTGACTGAAATCAAGACATCAGGAGGTCTCTGCCTCTGATTCTGGGTTATCTGAATCAAGGGAACTAATTTGGCCTCAAGCACTTAATCATTTCATTCCTCTTTCTGGTTTTATTTTGAGACATTAAGAGGAAACATTCGCCATGGGGGTTGGAGAGGGCCTTTTTCTCTTTCTGGCTGCTGCTTCTGGAGTCCCTCACCCAATGCCCAATGCATATGTTGGGCCAGATGGCCTGGACTCTTGGCAGCCAACTCAGCTGCTCAAGAACATGGCTGTGCTTAACTTCAACTTGACTCTGCTTCAGTTCAGCATGGGGTAGGAGTGTGATACCGATCAGTTTAATTAGCTTAATGAGGGCTGAGGGAACTGATCCACATTTTGAGTTTGTTGCACAGAACAAATCGGTTTGCCTTGCTCCCTCCTTGATAGTTTCGGCTTCCAGAGGAGACTGGCTCTCAGTCATTTCTGAAAGGGCTTTTCACTCCGCTCTTCTGTGAGCAGCTGGGCGCTGTCCCAGGTACCAACATGGCCGGGAGGGCAGGAACCCAGTTCTTCCAGATGTGCCTTTCTAAACTCGGAGTACACCAGTTAAAGGTTTAACCTGCTGGAGAACTCGGAGTACACCAGTTAAAGGTTTAACCTGCTGGAAGAGTGATCTCTCAAGTGTCAGGATGCCTGCTCCAATAAAGGGCAGCGTTTAGGCTTTTTGCCTAACACATGATCTCCAAAATGGGGTGCACAGAGAGATCCTTTGAGACTTGGGAATCCAATGTCCGAATGTCTGTGTTTACCTACCTTGCTCTGAATTTCTAATCTTATTGTTTTATGGCACATGTAGATACTATCTGCATAAGGGGTCATGCCCATACCTCTTCTGAAAGTTAAGCCTGGCGATCATAGATCCACAGGCGCAAAGTGCAAGTCACTCTGCACTCCTGGAACCGGGGAGTCACGTGAATGGGGTGGAGGGATTGATACCACAAGCTGCAGCTGTTGGTAGTTTTAGAGTCTGGGGTCTGAGCCTCCACCCCTTCCCATCACTGACCCAGACAAGTACTGGACTCCCAGGCGGGAAAGAGGCAGGCTGGGCTCGGATATTCTGTAGATGACTGCTGAGCTGAGCACGGGACGGGCACATACACTAGGATTCGTGTCAGGACACGCTCCCGACCGACTCCACGCGGGGCGCGCTTATGCGTCGAAAAGCTCTCCGGAGTAGGCGTTGGGGTCCTCCTGAGACCGTGTCACCACCTTGAACTGGCGCCGGAGGAAACCGCCATAGCGCTTCTGGTTGTCCCACTTGAGCTTGGGACGAATGCGCCGCAGGAAGCCCCCGTAGCGTTTGTACAAGTCCTCGTGGCCCATGCTGCCCCCCTCGCCCTCGCCCTCCCCCGCCACCTCTGAGCTCCGCTTGGGGTATTTGCGCAGAAAGCCCCCGTAGCGTTTGACCTGCGCCCTGGGATCCTCCGCGTGGAGGTCTGGGGCGCCGGCTTCCGCGGCGCCATCGCCCGGCGGGGCGTCGGCCCTCCGCTCGGCGTCTGCG